AATGGAATCTCATCCAAAATTATACAACCATTTCTAAGGATAGTTTTTTAACACTTCTGAATTATGTTTTTGAGAACACCTATTTTAGTTTTAATGATAAATTCTATCGACAAATATTTGGAGCACCTATGGGTAGTCCACTCAGTCCCATAATAGCAACCATTATTTTGGACCATTTGCTGGATGTCATTATTCCACAATTACCTTTCCCTTTACCCTTCATTAAAAAATTTGTAGACGATCTTATATGTTCAGTTCCTAGTTCACAAATTCAAAATACTTTGAAAATTTTCAATAACTTTAACAAACATATTCAATTTACGTTAGAGATTGAAAATGATTGTTCGATATCATTTTTGGACACCAAATTAATAAGAACTGAACAAAACAAAATATTGATAGATTGGTATCAAAAGCCAACACACTCTGGAAGATATTTAAACTTTTTCTCAAATCATCCCACTCATCAAAAGTTTAATACAGTGATTGCAATGAAGAATAGGGTAAGGCATATTAGTGATGAAAAATTCATAAACAGAAACTTAAATTTGCTTTTAAACATTTTTGAAAATAATGGATACCCAAAACATATCCTTAAAAAATTAATATTTAACTCAGACATTTTTGACGGTCCCACTGATATCGGAGCAGTACAAACAATCCAGTATAAAAAAATTACCTTTAATAAAACAGTTAACACCTTCTGTGACTAGTTTATTTAAACAATTTACTAACATCAAAATTGTCCAATATAATGTATTAGAAAACCGACAACTGTTTTCTAAAGTAAAAGACAAGACACCAACTGTAAATAAAACTAATGTCATCTATAAACTGCCTTGTTTGGATTGTCAGAGCTGTTATGTTGGCCAAACTTCTCAATGGCTAAAACAACGGGTCACACAACACAAAAGTGACTGCACAAAAAAGAAGAATACATGTGCGGCAGTTGACCATTACCTAAAAACTGGGCATCAATTTGACTACTCAAATGTCAGGGTTCTACAACAAGAGAACAATTACAAAAAAAGATTGTTTTTAGAAATGTGTCACATTAATAAAGAAAAATATGCAGTTAATTATAAGGCAGATACGGGACAGTTGAGCAATATCTACTGTAATATTCTTAGTATGTTCAAATAATTTTTCTTTTTACAATTATATTTTAAATCACCCTGTATATTTTTAATGTGTAATTTTAATGTGTTTTTATTGTTTCTTGGTTGTTTTTGTTTCCTATTTATTATATTTTTTGTTATATTTAATTACTAGTGACTAGATGCTTTTGACTAATACTGTCAGTACTGTTTTGAATATAATATGTTCAAGATTTTTAAATATTTTAACTCTTAATCTGTAAGTAAATTCATTGTTTATTATCACCTGTTATGTATATAAAATTTTAACCATATTTTAGTTATCTCCTGAAGAAGCTGACAAAAATCAGCGAAATATAGAGTCATAAAAGAAAAAAGAGTTTTTTTTTTTTTAATAACAGACCGCATACCTGATACTCCAAAACAATAAATTGTTATTTACGTTTCGGTCGATAATCCTACCAGTCCAGTTTTGCTATATATATATATATATATATATATATATATATTATATATATATATATAAAATTTTATTTCCTTGGTTTGTCGGTCTGTTGTAAATAAAAATACTTAATTATTGCTTAAACGTTTCGGCTAGTAGCCATTTTCAATAAGCACTTTATTTTATAAACAATACATTATACAATAATTATATTTGATGTTTACACTCAGAAGTTTAACATGGATTAAAAAATTGGTATCTGAAATTGACAGATGACATCTGGCAGGTATCTTAAAACAGAAGTGGATCAGGGTCGTATCTTAAATATATGTCATGGTGCATTTAAAAACTCATCTTTAACTTCAAAATCATCTTTAATATGCATCTTTTGTTGTAATTCTGTTCTTTTTCCAAAATCTGTGCATTTTCAAATTGAAAGAATGGCTATTTTATAGAGAATGTTTGGCTAGGGCTGTTGTATTTAATCCGTTGGTCTGTACGCTATGATTGTGTGCAAAAACCCTTTATGCAAATATTGGTGTGTTTGCCCAACATATGTTAAATTACAGTCTTTACAATTTATTTTATCAATAACATTTGATTAACGATCTTTATTAATCTTGGGTTTAAATTTAGAAAAATATTTTCCAGATGTTTTAGATGTTCAACATTAATATCATATTTTGCCAACATTTGTTTAGAAAATCCATTAATGTATGGTAAGGATATATATATATATACTATTTGTTTGATTAAGTGATTATTATTATTATTGCTAGGTATGGTTTGAGTTTGTTTTGGTTTGGTATTGGAATTAGATTGATTTCTGATAATGCAACTTTTTTTCTGATAATGACCAAACATCGTTTGTAAACCAGTTAGTTGTTATCATTCGGTTAATGAATTTTAATAATTAAATTTTTAATTTTAATAATTTTAATAAAATTTTAATACTAACGCACCCATAGCCCATAAAAGAAGTGTTGTGTTCAGTCATATTGACAGAGCAATTAAGCTATCTAACCCACAACACCATTCCGCAAATGTGAGAAAAGTAAAAGATATCTTAGAAAAAAAATAATTATCAACCAGAATTTTACAACCATCTAATTAAAAAAAGAAGTTGTATTATCAGAAGTCAATCTAATTCCAATACCAAACTAAAACAAACCCAAACCATACCTAGCAATAATAATAATAATGTCACTAAATCAAACAAATACTATATATCCTTACCATAAATTAATATATTTTCTGAAGAAATGTCAAAAATTTTGGCAAAGTATGATATTAATGTTGGACATATTTCATCAAAAACATCTGGAAAATATTTTTCAAAATTTAAACCCAAGGTTAATAATCAATTAAATGTTATTTATAAAACACATTGTAAAGACTATAAGTCAACATATATTGGGCAAACACACCAATACCTGCATAGAAGAGTTGTTGCACATAAACATAGTGTACATACCAACAGATTAAATACAATAGCCCTAGCCAAACATTCTCCAGAAAATAGCCATTCTTTTGATTTTGAAAATGTACATATTTTGGAAAAATAACAAAATTACAACAAAAGATGCATATTGGACATGATTCACATAAAAAAGATCCAAATTCTATCAATAATAAGATTGACATCAAAGATCTTTCCAATATGTATCATAATTTAATAAACTTAGTAATGTGATAAATTAGTAATACCATGATTGTCATTTAACTCAAAGGTTTTTACAGATATTTTCGTAGCTAGTTTCAACTATTCTTAAAATGTTTCGATCGAAATGTTTCCAAATATACTTACAAAAAAAAAAAAGCATCCTATGTAGTATATCTGGAGGATAAGAGTTCTCAATTAAAATAGTTTTCAACAATTAAAGATCTTCTTGTAAATAATCTGGATGAGAAAGCCTTATAACACGTTCTTTTAATCTGGTTATAAGGTTCATTTTTATTTTGTTTGGTGATGTGAGTGATAGCTTATAAATCTATTACTATACATGGGTAGATTAATATATTAGATTTATAAGCTATCACTCACATCATTCAAATAAGATGAAACAAATGAACCTTACAACAGGATTAAACGAGCGTGTTTTAAGGCTTTCTCATCCAGATTATTTACAAGAAGATCTTTATTTATTGAAAACTATTTTAATTGAGAACTCTTATTCTTCAGATAGACTACATATGATTCTTTTTTCTAATACTATTAATATAAATAACTTAACACCATTTTTTGCTAAATCTCAGAACATTGTATCCAACAATCAGAACATCTATTATCTGTAACAATAAAACACTGAAAACTTTGTTTTAAAACTTCCACAAAATTTATTTTAAAACTTATCGCTTAAACTTATGTGATAAGTTTTAAAATAAATTTTGTGGAAGTTTGAAAACAAATTTTCAGTGTTTTATTGTTACATAAAATGAATTTCCATCAAGTAACGGTCGAATCCATCAAACATCTATTATCATTCACTACCTTATGTACCATCGTTAACACCTAAATTAATACAAGTACTAAAAGTTATTTACAGTATAAAAATAGCAACAAAGAACATCAACAGTATTTCATCTTTATTTGCTAAAACTAAATATCCTATAGATAAATTAGACAAAACAAAGGTAGTATACATCGTATTATTTCCCACAAAAGTGATTGTAGAATAAAAAAAACTATCTTGTGCTTTAGCAGACCATGTAATCGACATTATGGATTTTTATAACATTAAAATTTTGTTAAATGAAATAAAATATTCAAAAGGACTTTTTTAGAAATGGTTTGTATTAGCAGGAGTGATAGTAATTTAAACGAAAGATCAGAAATTCAAAATCTAAGCAAAATTTTAATTGTATTATTTCTCTATAGTTTATTTATAAAACCAGTAAAATATTACATTTTTAATTTAATTTTCCATATATGTACTTGTTACATTTTTTCAGGTATCTGTTTTTTTTTTGAAAATTATGTTTCAAAAATGTAAGAGAAACATTTATTAGACAAACTAATTTTGTAAAATATTGTTTTTTAAATATCTGTAGCAGCATAATTTTATTAACTAAACTAATTTTATTTGGTGAGTTAATCCTTTTTTGCAAATTTCGACATGATAAGATATTTTGTATTTTTTTAGCTCTTGAAAATAATTGTAAACACAATTGAAAGCTTGAGTATAAAGAATAGTTACCTAATAGCCACTTTTTATTGACTCCAACCCATCCAAACATTATGTATATATTTTTTCCAAACGAGTCACAAGTATTTCTTTTTTCTTATATATATATATATATATATATATAAATTTAAATAAATTTAGAAATATAATTTCCGAAAGCTCGACTAAGCTCAAAGAGTTTTACTTATATTAGCCCACATCAATAGTCAATAATTATATTAAATCAAATTTTATTGATATTAAATACTAATAAAAGATGTAACTCCAAAAAATTACCTGTATTCCAAATATTTTTCTCATATTTGTCTGCAAAATTATTTCCGCTGAAAACTGAAGTATAAATCACATCATCCACCGGTATCACAAGCACAAGACATCACTAATAAACAAATCTGCAGCTCCGTTCGATTATACAATACTGTTTTCAAGGTTTTTCAGTTGTTCAGTTGCTCTCACTAGGAAATGCCCGCCGATTTTTTCTTCCAATCGACTCTTTTCAATGCCGCAATCTGTTGCAACCGCAAAGACCGAAAGATTCATGCATATCAAAACCTAGATGATCGGCGTCCCTAGGGCGACGTCCATTTTCGACACGACAAACAGATTTTCTTTTCCAATTGTTATTTATTTATTCGTTTGAATTATATATCCTGGGGGACTAAGTTCTTCTGAGAAGGCGTCCATCACGACTCAATGTTTACGTAATTTTATTATCTCGTAACGCGGTCGGTTTGACTTTTGTTTTGGTTGTGTGCGATATTCGAATAATCTCGCTATGACTTAGCGCGAAGACATGGAGGAAGTATACTATAAGAAGGTGTCGCTTACGGTGAAGGTGTCGTCGCTTTGTCGATTGTGTCTGTGAAGGCATGCAACGAAGTATGGTGATATGCAATTCGCGAAGGAGGTCTGGTTTTCGTTTAATGGACCAGATGTCCTGGAGGAGTGGGTCTATTTTTTTGCCTTTTTTGGGTCGATGAAGACTGGTTTGAATGTAGAAAAAGTTATTACTGAAGATATGTATAGTGTGTCCCAAATAGAACGTTGTAATAATTAAAAATATAACACAATTATTCTGTTACATTTCCAGTCAAAAGTTTATCGCGTATTAAAATTACAGTTTGTTCAATATTGTCTAACCTTGTTTTTATATAGCGCGGTTATTCCTTTAATGATATTTAGATATATTCTGTATAACCTATGGATATGATACATGTTCTGCTTTTGACATATTACAAAGTAGTTAATATTTCAATAATGTTTTATTTTGGCCCTGGCTTACATATCTTTCCAATCTTAATCAGTTTACCCTTTTACATGTAACTCTTTATGTATGATGCTAAGTTTGCACTTGTTTTTCTTCTTCTTTTTCATATTCGTCTTCAGGTTACACTTCCATTCCAAGTTTAAAAATTTTAATGCGGTTCTGATTAGGTATACTACGTTTGAAAATTATTAATAACACGTTTTTTATTACACCGCTGATAACCCCCAACGTAATTTCATAAGTCAGCGACAAAGAATTTCAAAATTATTTGAAGTTTCATTGACTCAAATGTTGCAATAATTTTAATAAACCGATAATGTGGATACCTACATAATCTGTTCAGGAAAAAAATTCATTAAGAAACACCTTTGAAGATTTTTAGAAACGATTAAATTTTCCAATTTTCTCAAGAAAATTACAGAGATTTTAATTGTACTCATGTGAAGTTAAAGTGTGATTTAACAGAGTATGAAGACTACCATCAAGAAATAACTTATGATGTTTTAGAAGATTGTTGAATGATACATTTCCTACCGATCAATTCTCTCATAGTTATTGACAATGTCAGTTGTCGTTTAAGACTAAAGGAGCCATTAGCAAAGCAAAAGGTTTAAATAGGTTTTATTGTTATTACATTCATCAAAATTTAAGACTGCTGTGTTTTTTTTTCATGGAAGCCATCTGTTATAAACCGATGTACTGCAGAGAGTTGGCATATTGTATGTCTTCCATTCACCAGCCGTCGGTAGTGTCTGAAAAGCGTCTTGCCCCCTGCGATCGAATTACTCAAGACTTAATGCAAGATATGGTTGACAGCTTTAGGTCTTCCGTTATGACTCTGAGCTGATTCTTGCTTGTTTTTCGCAGAACTTTAACTATATGTTTGACCCAGTGAGAGTTATATTGCTTTCGGATGCAGGCTCTTTTTCGATCGTGAACGATGCTTTTTTTCACTTTCACGATTCACTGTGGATGGAAGTATTTTGTAGCTGATGCTCTTCTGGTAAGTTCATCAGCTCTTTCATTACCGTCTACTTTCTGGTAACCTGGAACCTATACCAGTTTGACACTGTTATGTTCCACCAATCTACCGAGTTTCTCTCGACATTTCTACACTAGCCTAGAGTCCACCTTAGGATTTACAAGAGGGTCCTTTATAACTGCTTAACCATCTTTGCGTATATTGATTACACTAAAAGACTGTTAGCCTTTTAGTGTAATATTACCCCAAGATAGTTTATATCTCTCACCAGATTTAAATTTGTACCATTAAGACTTAAAAACCAATCCCTCTAAACTCTTACTACTGGTAAATTTCATGTTTTTGGACTTCTGATGGCTTATGTTTTAAGCCCTACATTTGAAATCAATTATGTAACTACAGTCAGAGGTTGTTGTATTCTATCTGTGACTGTGCCATTAAATTTGCCGTAGACTAAATGACCAGGTAATCCGCATAACACAGGGCATGTGTCTGTCTGCCTGTCATTGCTGAATCTAGATGTCATATCCATGACCATATTCTACAAGAGAGCCACCTCTGAGGATAGTCTCTGACTACTTGTGCTGACACTGTACCCCTAGTAACGTTGTATATAGCAGACGGCTCCTCAGCATGCAGTGCCAGTGGTATAGCAGATATATCGATCTACAGCTTGTTTTGTCTATTTCTCTTAGACGAATCACCCTTATGATTCTATAACGGGAAATTAAACATTCACCTCTTATACTTTTCTATAATGTACTATACTCTCTGACCGAGATGGTGCTTTCTCATTTCTGTGGATAGTGTTGATATACGCATACTGTCCGTGGAGTATCGGACTTTCAACCAATACATCATCTCTGTCTAACGAGTACCTAATTTTTCTAGAGTCTAAAGTCTTTAGTGTGAATGATATCAGTTTTATCAGTCTCAGGGAATTAACTTTTTTCGGGGTCTGCCAGGTTTGGTTATATTTGGGTAGAAGACACCCTTATGAGCTACCATGCTTTTAGTATGTACCTCAATCCTAAGCTAGCCTATAGTATTTATAATACATAACTTTTTAGACGGCATATCATTTAATCAGGTCCTGTAATATCGACGATAAAGACTTAAGGATCATTTCAAACCTCTACCAAGAACAAAAGGCTAAAATCAGAATAAAAAGCGAAACATCTGGAAAAATCAATATCGAGAAGGGAGTAAGACAGGGATGTGTCCTATCACCTTTGCTGTTCAATGTTTACTCTGAGAAGATATTTCAGAAAACTTTGGAAGGCGGAAGGCACCTCGGATGGTATAATTATAAACGGGCAATGTATAAATAACCTGCGATATGCTGATGACACTGTCATACTGGCAGATAATGCTGAAGCCCTGCAACGCTTAATGGACCGAGTAACGACAGCCTGTAGAGAATTTGGAATGAAATTGAATACAAAGAAGACAAAAACGATGGTCCTCAGCAAGCACCAAAACAGAAGGGTGAAGGTCAATGTCGACGGAACAGATCTGGAAAGAGCAACAAGAACAACGTAAATTGGAAGTAATCTTGATGAAACTTGGGACCACTCACTAGAGATAAGAATACGCCTGGAAAAGGCACGTACAATGTTTTACAAAATGCAAAAAGTTCTATGCAACCGCCAGCTGGGCATCTCATTGAGAACTAGAATACTTAAGTGTTATGTTTTCTCCACCTTGCTCTATGGTGTTGAAGCCTGGACAATGACAGAAGCAACACAAAGAATCCAAGCATTCGAACTCTGGTGTTACCGTAAAATGCTCAGAATATCCTACATGAGCCATACGACAAATGCGGAAGTCTTGCGGAGGATGAATAAGGAAAGAGAGCTTATACTTATAATAAAAGAACGGAAAACACAATATTTTGGTCACATCATAAGAAATCAGAAGTATGAACTGCTTCAACTTATAATCGAAGGCAAAGTCAATAGCAAAAGAGGACCAGGAAGAAGACGCAACTCTTGGCTTAAAAACCTACGGCAATGGACGAACATGACCTCCATAGAACTATTCAGGGCTGCTACAAATAAGATTAAATGGGCAAATGTAATGGCCAACGTCCTTAAGGATAAGGCACCGTAAGAAGAAGATATCATTTGATTCTATAGGAGTGAAGGAATACATATCGGAGGATTTTTTGCCTTCTTCACGATTTTTTTGCCTTTCTAAGTTACTTATTATATTCAGTAAGAGCTTTGCCATAATCGCCGCCCTCACTAGAATTCCTTGCCATATTCGGACAATTTGTCTTCGAATGCTGACATGACAACATCTTTAAATTGTTTGGTGGCCATGTCTAGGTCCAGAGTATGCCTTATCATCGTCCATTTAACCCTTCCGACACAATATTCCATGCCTGCTTGATTATGCTTTCCAGTTTTCGTTAAAGGTTTAAATTTGCTTGATAGGCTCATTATTTCTGTTATTTCAAAACACATGTGTTAATGGTCTGAGCAAAACACCTTATCTGACACATGCCATGTCGTACCCACTGTTATATCAATTACCTTCTTTCATTGTGAAGTTACGAAACTTGGTTTATTTTTTACATTTAGTAATTAGTATTTGTACTGCCTTAAGTCAGATGGTGTACATTCACATCGTTGTACGAATATCAATTTCAGTCCGTTCTTCCTGCAAACTGTCGCAAGCTTTTTCAGCTCCCGTGGTGGTGCTTGTTCGGGATAATAATAGGGGGGGTATGCTAGTTGAGAATTATCTCCGTCATACTTCCTTCCTCTATGGTCTTCATCTTCACCGTCGTTAAATCTCTGGAACCAATATTCATCAACGGCAATGTTTTAATATATCGTTTCACTATTATACAGGTCCTCGTAACTTGGGCAGATAGGCTATATATAAACTCTCCAGAAATGCCTTATAGGTCTTTTATTTTGCACTCGTAAACCCAGGGATCTTGTATCAAAGCTATATCGAAGCCTTACTAGGTTAGCCTGCAGGATTGGATCTGATTGGCACCGAGGCCTCTGATGGCTTGAAGGATATATTTCCAAAGATGTAATATGTCTTGAAATGAGCAGCATAAGATCTCTTACAATGCTTTGTAAGAGATCTAGTCGATCGTGTAGACTAGAATTTGTGCGTCATCTCGATCTCCCAATTTTTCAACAATCAGTCTTCCGTCCCAATGTCTTAATTTGGTATTCTTGTGGGTCTTGATAGTTTCTTCATCATCCTATTTCTCACGGCGCTGGTAAAGACCATGGGGCGCTTGCGCATAGTTTTGGGATCGACTACGTTTACGTCTGCCCTCTCACGGTTTCTCCGTAGTCGGAGTTCTCCGTAGTCAAAAGTAGATTTTAACTTCTAGTAGGAGCCTCATCCACTGCTTGTTCCAGTTTT